TTATCAATAAATTAAAAATATAGTTAGCACTTATTATATACATAAGAATATTTAAATTTTTAGTAATTAATGATTATTGGATAAATAATAGTTTTATCCTTAATATAAACTTACTAAAATAATATTATTATTCTAACTTCAACAAATAAGTTTAATAATTATTATTTTTTTTTTAATAATGAAATTAAATAAATAATAAATTATTTTTTAGATAAAATGCTATTTATATATTTCAGATTATATGAAATCATTTCCTGATTGATTTTCAAAAGTTAATCTATTTGCATTATATATTAAAGATATTTAAAGCAATTTTATCTATTAACATCAGATATCTCTATTAATAAAATAATTGCACAATTCTCAAGACAAAGTGCACATACTTTTCGTATTAAGAATAAACTCACTTCAGATTATAGTTATATATTTATATTTATATCTCATATTAAGAAATCTAATGTTGATCTAATCTTGAATATTAGTAGAACTAGGTGTAAAATATATCATTTAGTTAAACAATTGCCATTAAGATATACTTTTAATATTTATATAGATAACTATTTCTCAAATGTAATTTTATATTATTTTTTTTTATAATAAGAGCTTTAAAGTTTGTAAAAATAATAAGAATAAATACTACAAATTTTCCTTTAATTTTAAAAAAAAAAAAAAAAATTTAGAATAAGATCATTTAATTAATATAATAATAGAGAATGTGTTAGCTTTATTATGGATTAATAATGAACTAGTAATAATGCTAATAATAATATATATGATTGATAAAGAAAATTCTAAAATTAAAATAGAATGTAAAAAATCATGTAAAATAAATATCAATAACAATAAAATCAAATCTGTTTTTAAAAATAATATTTGAAAAATTCTATCTTTTTCATTAGTAATTAATAATTACAATCATAAAATGTGAAAAGTAAATATTGTAAATCAATTAAGAAGCTATTATTTATGCAATTAGCTATTTTTAGAATATAAATTTCTTTATTTTTTTGGTTACTAAATACCATGATCATCAATTTATATTTAATTTACAAAAAATTAAATATTATAAATGATCATAAAACATTTAGATTAAAGATGGTCCCTATAATTATTTTTAAATTTCAATTGAGTTACAACTTAATTATGCTATAAGAAAATTTAATTGCGTCACAAGTTGCAACTCAATTGTGCTATTTTTTTTAATTGCAATAACCATCTTTAATTTAAATTATTATTAATTCAAAATCTAATTAAAGATACTTTAGATATTTCATCAAAAGAAAATTTCACAATGATAAAAGGAATGAAATAGAAGATAATAAAAAAATTCAAGTTACTTTAAAATTTGGATTACCAGTATACAGATTTATTAGTAATAATCATTATTTTGAATATAGTGATAAAAGAAATGGATGCTTATAATACTGATATTTTTTAGAAAAAATAATTCTTCATCTCAATAAAATTTATCTCAATCTCAAATTTGATATTCTAATTGTGATATAGCATTATGTTATAATAAATTTAGATCAAATTGTTTTAAAATTTTTCATACTTATATTGAATAAATAATCATTTTTTCTTAATAATAAATTAAAAATTTAATGAAAAAAAGTTAATATAAAATTAGACTATAATTTAAAAGTCTGATAACTAATATTTATTTATAAAGGGTGTTATTATTAAATTAATAAAAAGTATAATAAATATTAATTTAATTTACAAAGATCAAAAATCATTAATTCTATAAAATTATTTGAAGTTGATTATTTATATTAGAAATATAATAATAAAATTATTTTTCTTTTAAAATATGAACAAATTAAACAAAAAACATATTATATTTACCTTCAGATAGAAATAAAATCTGTATGCTATAGAATAAAAAACTATATTGATTTGGAAACACCATTGTAATTTAATAATTGCTAAAAAGCAATTAGTAGACTTACTAAACAAGATAAGCTTAAGTGAGATGTCAGTTCTCCCTTACCATATGAATAGACATCAAGCCCCTTCTATAATTAAAAGGTTTAGATATACTTGACGAATAAATTTAACTATGCATTTTCAGATTTTTAGATAGGCATTGACTTTTTTTTTCTTTCCTTACTGATGTCAATTTTCATTGAGTATATATCTAGTGGAGTTGATGGAGGGGGAAAATAATAATAGATCAATTCAAATTAGTTTGTAATATAATTACAAGAAATAGCTAGTACTTAGCATAGATTTATTTTTGATTTACTTTGTATCTCTTTATATATAAATTTAATAAATTTACTAGCAGTACCACATCATTAAAAAAAAAAAAGAATTATATTGATAATATAAATTATTTATTTGTCTATTAATAACTTATAATATATAGAGTTAATGAATCTATTGATATCTTAATTTAATTAATTTTTAATATAAGTTTATAAATAATAACTATTAATTTATATACTAAAAAAATAAATAAATTTTAATTTAAGAATAATATCAATATAAGATAAAATTAAATTTTAAATTAATTAGGTAAAGTAATTATAAGATAAGTTGTTTATTAAAAATAGATCATATAAATTTATAAAATTCTTTAAAATCTTTTATGAGTTAATGATCTAATTTATGTTATTTATAAAGACTAATGATAAATATTAATAATTAATTAAGTAGTTATTATATTAATAAAATTAGATATCTAAGTATAATTAATTCTACTTTATATAATAATAAGTTTAAATAAATGTATCAAAGTAGATAGAAATTTTTTTACTTTAGTCAATACCTATTTTTATATTATAATAAATAAAAATACTATCTGTAATAAATATAATATTTCTTTTAAAAATAAATAAATTGATAAAAGATTCATAATTAAATAAATACTTTTATTCTATTAAAGATATATCTAAAATACTATAGATCTACTTTATTATAAACTTTTGAAAGATTTTGAAAATTATAGAAGAAATAAATAATATAAATAATATAAAAGATATAAAAGACTTTAATGAATTTTAAATGATTATTATCATTTTTACAATATTAATCTTAAAGTATTCTTTTATGTAATAATGTATTTCATATATTAAATGTGATTAATATAATCAATATCTGATATATTTAACATATTTGATATATTTAACATATTTAATATAATTAATATATTATTATATACAATGTAATTATAAATATATATATAATATTAAATTATTTTAATAATTTTCTCTAGTATATTTAGATTATAAATAACATTTAGTTAATTGTTAATTTACTTTGATTCTTTATTTTTTTATTTTTTATATTTTATATTATTTCTTTAATATTTCTTATATCTATTAATAAACTACTTTACTATTAAATTACCAATTCTATATAATTTATATCTAGTAATGAGTAATTATATATAAAATATAAATTTGTAATATAAACTTTATTTAATATAAATTATATATTTAACTATGTAAATTTTAAAAGAATCAATCCTTAATATTCCATTTAACTATTACAATTTATAAGAATTACATATTAATAGTATTATTATATAAATATTATTATAAGATATAATATAGATTTAAAATATTAATAGTATAAAACTAATAATATAATCAAATAAAATTCTTCAGATTTTGATAAAATAATTTAATAATAATATTAATATAAAATGATTAAATTTAAATAATAATTATTTATCTAATAAGTTACATAATTTGTCTAAATAAAATTTATTGAAAAGTATTATAAATTTAATATTTAATAATTATAAAATTTGAATATTTTTTAGATATTGAATTTTCTTTTCACTTTTTGATATTCAGTAAATTTAACTATAACTTCACATAATCTTTCAAATACAATTTTCTTTTTAAATGTTTCAAATTTTTCAAATTCTTCCATTTTGAATCAAAAAGAATCTTAATATTCTAAATTTTGAGTTTTAAGTTTTTCTATTAATGTAAAAATATTATTATTAAAATAAAATTTTGAAATTAGATTTTATCTTTGATATGTGTTTTATATTAGATTGTTCAATAGGTTTTTTTAGTTAAAGCAAAAAAATTAGATTATATTTTTAAAATTAAAAAAATACAAACTAAAATATTATATAAATAATATTACTTACCTGAAATACTTTGATCATTATTAATATAGAATATTTGATGTATAAATTTCACATTTAGACATTTAGTGTTTCTCCTTTAATGCCATTTTGATTTTTGCATTATTTCCTTATGAAGTAAATCAAGTTCTGATTGATTTAACTTACTTTTTCTGAAAATTTATTAGGACAATTGCTTTTTTAATAAATAGTGTAAAGGATGATCTCCATGTGTAATAGTAAGTTGAACACATTGAATATATGTGGTGAATTCGTTCACATAGACCAATTCATGCTAAATGTTTTTTCGATTATACAGTATTTGTAGGATCAGAAACTGAAAAAATGTGTAATTTTTGATTTTGTGAAGTTCATTTACAACTCCCACTCTTTATATGTCTCTTTACATCATTAAATGGATATCTGAGTTTATTATTTTGACCACATTATTAAGTCATTGTTAAAGACAGAAGTTACATTAAAGTGTTCCAAAAATCGTTCTTTTGTATGCCTAACCATCTATTTAAAATAATGTTACAAGAAATTTTTTTTGCAAACCATACTATTAAAAAAGTGATATTTTAAAAGAAGTGGTATCTAAAAAAAAAGTGGCCTTCTAAAGAAAGCAGTCTTTTAAAGATGGTGTTCTAAAATATGTTCTAAAAAGAAATGTAAAAGAAAAGTAATACTATCAAAATATTTATTATTATCTTATCGGACTTCATGTAAAAAATATTATTTATAATCCGGTTACCAAATTTCAAACCCCCATTAAGTGATATCCTAAATACCAAATATGAGTTTAAAATTATCAAATAGGTTTTGTCTTTTCAAATATAACTTTTTTTAAGAAAAGAAACCTGATACCAAAAATATCTAGTTTCAATTAATAAAATGAACATAAAACATAAAATTAATTATACACCTTAACCCTTTTACTAGTAGGTGTATTAATAACCGGAGGCTCGTTTTCCAGATTCTGTTTGTTACTGGAGGAATCTCTCTTTCGTTGATTCTGCAAGTTTTTTTTCTTGATCAAGTTCAAGATATTTAGCTCCATTGCCTTAATCTTATCGTGCATTGTTTCCAACACGTTTAAGATAGTTTCGATATTATATATTTCGTGTATTGATACCGGTAACCAGCATTCATTAAGTAAGATTAGGTGGAAGAGACCTTTAAAGCGAATCATCATATATACTTTCAATTTATAACCTAAAAAAAAGAAAGGAAGCGGTCAGCTCTCCATGTCCCATTTATTGAATCAGAAAAAGAAAAAATAACTTACCAACGATTTGAACTCCCCAAACTATTAAACTATCTACATCTATTTCTAATTCATTTTCACTCCTGATTAAGGCTTCCCTTAGTCTCCATGCTAACTTGATTTTATCTTTCCAAGACTTGCATCTTGAACATCCAGGAAG